ATAATATTCAGAAAATGCCGAGCCGAGTGAATAAAGAGTGATAAAACTGATGAATAATGAGAGAATGAGGATCAATGATACTACTGACTACTAAAGACTCGAGCTGAAGTAAAAAGTGAATGAGATAGATATATTGGATAATAATAGACAATAATAATAGGATAGAGTGATAGAAAATAATTATAGCAGAATAAGAGCAATAATTAATAATAACCAATAAATAAAGCGGTGATGATAATGATAATAATAATAACAATAATAAACAAAGAGAGTCTGCAAAGCATATGGGAATGATAATAATAAGAATACTCGAGTAAGAGGGTAATGAGGCTAGGAGAGTGGAGAACTAGAGATAGATGAATCAAAAGTGATAATATCTGATATTAAAGAATAATGATATTAAGAATGAAATATGAGAAGATAAGTGAAATGAGGCGAGATGTTAAATGTGCTCATTATAATGATGATTATAGTTGTAATATAAATAAGGAAGTAAAAGTGACTGATTAAAACAAGTAAAAGTAACCATTAATGAAGATCTGGATGAATGAAGCGAGAGCTAGCGCGAGGAATAGAGGAGGAGGTAATTGAGATATGGATGAAAACAATAGTAATGATAATAACAACAGCCAAGACCCAGAAAATGAGAAATAAGTAAAGAGTAATAAATAACAAATAGTGGATATTAAAATGGATAAAGTGAAAACAGTCCATAAAGTTGGGATAACAATGATATCAGTAAAATCCTGATAATAATGAAATGGGTGATGGTATATACGGTCATGATGATGATGAGAAGGGATAAAGCTAACAACAATAATGAGTAAATTCATTGATAATATATAATAAATAGATAATAATAATAATAAGATGAATAAATAGATGAATCCGAGAATAAAATAAATAAAGCGAACAATAACCAATGACGATAAATTAATCAATGTAATTATAATAATAAATTATGAAGAGTAATAAAAAATAATAATAATAATAAAAGTAATAATAATAATAACAATTAACAAATACACAAGAATAACCAATACAACAACCCAAAATAAATAAAATAAAGAAATAAATAAACCCAGTGATAGATAAAAATAAATAAATAAAATGAAAAATAGAATAATAAAGAAATTAAAACAAACAAGGTAAAATAAATAAGTAAATAAAAAATAAACCAATAATAATCAAACTTTAATATTATATATAATACATCATAATAAGCGAAAGAATAATAAAAGATAATAAGAATAAAACAGAGAACTTAGTAATAAACTGATATTAAATTGAGATGATAATGGTGTAATAATGATAATAATGATAACAACCCCAACAATAACAACAAATGTAATAATAATAATAATAATAATAGTAACAATAATTAAAATAATTATAATAACAAAATGATGATGATGATATAATAATAATATTAAACAATAATAACAATATGATAAAATAATAATAATAATAATAATGATAAATAATAATAATAATAATTAATAATAATTAATAATAATAAAATGATACTAATCATATATAAATAATAATATGATAAAAAATAATAATAATAACATAATGATAATAATGATACATAAACCAAACCAAATAGTAATAATAGTAATAAAAATATAAATGATAATGATAATGATAACAATAACAATAATAACAATAATGCTAACAGTAATGATAACAAGGATGATAACAATAGTGATAATGATCATAATAACAGTAATGATAACAAACGTACTAAATGTATAATGAATACTATATGAACAATCTATCTGACAGAGTGGGCCCAAGGTGCTATCCGTTCCCGCTCAAAAGCAACCAACAAAGCACATAAAAACAACAACAGAACCCGGCTTGTCCCCACAAGACAGCTAACGACCCAGCCGCCTTGCACAAGCCTTGCAGATTGCAACCTGCAAGAAACACACGGAGGACCCTCTACGGCGTGTGAAGTGCGCCGAGTTGAGTCGGCGAGAAGTGGGATATATTCTGCTTACAAGGGATGGCCGTTCGGGTAAGAGGCTTGGCCGGGACACGTCGTCCGGACTCGGTTTATTCGGTGGACCGTTTTTTTTTTTTTTTTTTTTTTTTTTTGGGGGGGGGGTGGAGATGGAGGAAGGGAAATGATAGGTAGTGTAGAGTGGGAGGTTGGGTGGAGGGGGGGGAAGGGTTAGATTTCTTCTTTTTCTCTCTCTCTTCTTTCTCTCTATCTATCTATCTATTTCTCTCCTCCCCTCGACCCCTCTTGACTCTTTTCTCTCCTACTCTCCTTCTCTCCTCCTCTCTGCCTCTTCCGTCTCCCTTGTACGAGTGTCTCATTCTATCTCCCGTTTCTTCCTCCTGTATTGGTGCGTTTCTCTCTATATTCCTTCTCTTTCCCTTGTGTGTGACTGGTGTGTGAGTGGTAGGTGTTGTGTGTGTGTTGTGGTGTGTTGTGGTTTTGTTGTGGCTGTGTGTGTGTGTGTGTATGTGTGTGTGTGCTGTGTGTGTGTGGTGTGTGTGTGTGTGTGTGTGTGCGTGTGTGGCGTGTGCGTCGTGCGTGTGCGGTGTGGCGTGTGCGTGTGCGCTGAGTGTGCGCGTGTGCGTTTGCCGTGAGGGTTTGTGCGTAAGGTTTGTGTGTGCGTTAGCGTGTTCGTGTGCGTCCTGAGCATGATGTGTATGTGTGCATGAGCGTGGGTGCACCACCCGCCCATCCCAGAGCCAGATCCCCCAACCCTAAATCGGCCCCGGGTTCTTCCTGTAATAATCCCACTGTAGTTCTTGCCTACATCCCTGCCTGTAAGCTCGCCAGAATATCCTTCTTGCCCATTTCTCGTCGAAGTATCCCAGGATAATCCGGACGTCCTTCTCCTCCAGCTTCTTCAGTTGATCCTTCAGCTCGTCCCGCAAAACTCCTGATCTCGGCGATTTCGTATTGATCTTAGTTCGAGCATTACACCGAAGTGGATTTGGGCCTGCGGGCGAGGCCGGCGCTTACCAACATGGCCACGGCCAAGACCATATATAATATATATATATATATATATATATATATATATATATATGATATATATTGTATATAGTATATATATATTATATATATATATATATATACTATAATAATATATATATATATATATATAATAATTTATATAATATATATATATATATATATATATATATATATATATATATTATATATATATATATATATATATATATATATATATATATATATATATATATATATATATATGTATATATATATATATATAATATATATATATATATATATATATATATATTATAGATATATATAATCTATAACTACTTGAAGATGCTGAGTGTAGGCAGATGTGTAGATATTCAATAAGAGAAATATAAATATTGGAAATATTAGACATAAGAATAATAAAATTCAAGAAAAAAAGAACAGCACATGAAGAGAGGGGGGGATAGATAGGTAAAGGGAGAAGGAGGAGAGATAGGGAGGGAGAGGAGAGGTGGAGAGGGAGAGGGATAGAGAGAGAGACAGAGAGAAAGCGAGAGACAGAAGAGGGGGAATGAATGGAAAGAGAGAGAGGAGAGAGAGAGATAAAGTTAGAAGTAAAGGGAGAAGAAAAGAGAGATAGGGGGAAGGAGGGAGGGAGAGAGATGGAAATGCCCACAGACAGAAAGGAAGAGAGAGAGGGATGGAAAGAGGGAGTGAGATAGAGAAAGTGAATGGATGCAGGCGAGGGAGAGAGAGAGGGGGGGAGGAGGGGGAGAATCAGAGAGAAAGAAGGAAAGAGAGGAAGGAGAGGGAGGGAGGGAGAGAGAGACAGAGAGAGAGACAGACAGACAGAAAGAGAAAGAGACAGAAAATATATAGCAAGTCAACCAGCGCATCCATAACCCCTGTAAACAAAGAAGCAAACACCTCCCCAACAGCCATCAAACAAACGAAGAACACACTCAAAAGACAACCAACCAACCAAACAAAATCAAACGAAAAAACAATAGATAAATAGACAATCCAGAGGGCCAGAAGACCGACTCACCAGAGCGTGTCGCGGTTCATTCTGGAAGAGGGTTCCGACACGAGTCCAGTTGAACCGCTGCAGCAGGTGGACGCGTGGGTGGTTGAACTCCTTATCTGACGGAACCATGCGGAAGAAGTTGGGGTACTTGACTGCCGAGAACATGGGGTGGGTGTCCGCGTACGACAGCTGCGGGCGGAGGGAAAGAGAGACCGCTTAGGGAAGAATGGTATCGGGTGGGTGTATGTATATGGTATGGATGTATGTATATCGTATGGTATTGAGAAGCGTTGTGGCATTAGGAGGGGAAGTGAGATCGCTTAGGGAAGAATGGTATTGAGTGGGTGTATGTATATGGTATGGTATGGTACTGAGGAGTACTGGGTTGGTATTAAAGAGTGCTGTGGTATTAGGAGGAAAAGAGAGATCGGTTAGGGATGAATGGTATCGGGTGGGTAGGTGTATGTATACGGTATGGTATGGTATCGAGGAGTATTGGGGTGGTAAAATGTTTACAGGTATTGAGATGTGGTATTAGGAGGGAAAGAGAAATCCCTTAGGGTGGGAGGAATGGTATCCGGTATGGTATGATGTTCAAGAGCACCGGGTGGAATTAGTGGTGTGGTTGGATGGCAAATTTGGTTGTGTCGGATGTGGATCGTTTTAGACTTATGCGTCCTCCCTCTCTCTCTCTCTCTCTCTCTCTCTCTCTTCTCTCTCTCTCTCTCTCTCTCTCTCTCTTCTCTCTCTCTCTCTCTCCTCTCTCTCTCTCTCTCTCTCTCTCTCTCTCTCTCTCTCTCTCTTCTCTCTCTCTCTCTCTCTCTCACTCTCTCTCTCTCTCTCTCTCTCCCTCTCTCTCTCTCTCTCTCTCTCTCTCTCCCTCCTCTCCCCCCACCTCTCTCTCTCTCTCTCTCTCTCTCTCTCTCTCTCCTCTCTCTCTCTCTCTCTCTCTCTCTCTTCTCTCTCTCTCTCTCTCTCTCCTTCTCTCCTCTC